GCAGCTTTCCGATGTCCAGCCTTCTCAGCAGTCCTTCAGCAGTCCTCCGTGCAACCTTCGCAACACATAACCGTGTGCGAATCTTAGCTGCAACAAGATAATGGTCGGAGTCGATGTTGGGACCCCGACAGGATCGCACGTCGAGTACGCTAGATGCATGCCTTGCATCGATCACAACATGATCGATCTGATTTCTGGTCAGTCGATCGGGAGAGAGCCACGTCGCCTTATGTATGTCCAAATGACGGAACCCAGTACTACGAACTACCATATTATGCGCTGCAGCAAAGCCTATTAATCTGAGACCATTGCTCGAGGTGGTCTCATGTAGACTAAATCGCCCGACGGTGGCACCAAAGATGTCTTCTCGCCCAACCTTGGCATTAAAGTCCCCAAGGAGGATTTTAATGTCATGAGAAGGGCAGCGGCCGTAAGCTCGGTCGAGCTCCGCATAGAAAGTATCCTTGGTTATATCGTCTTTTTCTTTGGTTGGAGCGTGCGCGCATATCAGGCTGATGTTGAAGAATTTGGCAGTAATTCGGATCGTTGCAAGTCTCTCGTTTATTGGCAGAAAGTGAGAGACTCGGCGCCGCAGTCTGGTGCCAACAACGAAGCCACAGCCAAATTCATGCCTTTCTGGATGGCAGCTGTAGTAGATGTCGCAGTCCTTCTTCTTAATGCAACCTTGCCCTATCCATCGCATTTCCTGGATAGCAGCGATATCGGCCCTACATTTTTTGAGGGTATCTGCTAGTTGTTGAGCAGCACCTGGTCTGTACAGTGTTCGTACATTCCACGTGCATACTCTCAAATCATTGTCCTTTTTTCGTTTGCCATGGTCGTCAACGTTAAATCGGTCCCGTTCCGAGGCTTCTTCTGCTTCTTTCATTGAATTTTGGTTTTTCTATGGGTGGATTTCAAGTCCTACGCCACAACCTAGTTTGAAGAGCTAGGACTCTCGTCGCGCGCTTTAGTTTGCCACGCAACGGAGGTTAAATGGCAATCCAGGGAGAACCACGTGGAGGTAGTGCGTCGGCTTGAGGAGATCAGTGATAAGGATCATGCTGGCATTCACCAAGTTGAATGCAGTCAGACACTTTGCCTTATATGCTCTCCCCCATCCCCCCAACGAGATGCCAACTTCATAATGCCCCTCTCATAGAAGCTCGCTTCCCTATTGGCAAAAAACTCGGAGAGCCAATTTTCACAGTACTCTCTTGTGGCCAACTTCAGACTACCAAGCGCGTTCGCCATGGACAGAAACAGGTGATAATCACTTGGTGCGAGATCCGGACTATACGGTGGATGCAAAAGAACCTCCCATCCGAGCTCCCGGAGCTTCTGGCGCGTCACTAAAGATGTGTGTGGCCTGGCGTTGTCCTGGTGGAAGACAATTCGGCCTCTGTTGATCAAAGATAGCCTCTTCTGCATGAGTGCTGTCTTCAAGCGGTCCAGTTGTTGGCAGTACAGGTCCGAATTGAGCGTTTGGCCATAGGGGAGCAGCTCAGAGAGGATTATTCCCTGCCAAACCCACCAAACACACAGAAGAACCTTCCTGGCCGTCAATCCAGGCTTGGCCACCGTCTGGGCCGCTTCACCGCTTTTCGACCACGACCGTTTGCGCCTTACGTTATCGTAAATGACCCACTTTTCATCGCCAATCACCATACTCTTCAAAAATTCGATTTTGTTGCGATTAAGAAGCGATTCGCATGCGTCGATACGATCAAAGATGTTTTTTCGCGTCAATTCGTGTGGCACCCATACATCACCATTAGTGACTCCAAGCTTCTTCGCAATTTTCGACGACAGGCCTTCCGGAGCGTGGCGCATCTTCAACCACCTCTACCCCAGAACGAAAACGTTGAAACCATCGTTGTGCGGTGGAAATGGAAACTGTATCGGGTCCATAAACTGCACAAATTTTATTGGCGGCTTGATATGCATTTTTGCCTTTATCGTAGTAGTACTGTAAAATATGCCGTATTTTCTTTTTATTTTGCTCCATGATTGCGACGCTATAACTAACGAACGACTTAAAAGAAAAGTCAAGCAATCAATTAGCGCGTGAAATGAGCTTTCCAAAAAGGTATAGTATGACCTGATGCGACGAATAAAACAAGAACTACGCGCTTTCAGCGCCAATTAGCGAAAATACCGCAAGACTTTTTTGACAACCTAATATAAAAATGGAGACAAAAAATGTGCGGAATCGCATAACAGCTTGTTTGTACCTGCCAGAAGAAGGTTATACCATAAGAAAATTTTGGGAAAGCCTTCTTGAAAAGTCGCTAGCGGCTCAACAGATGTACACAATGTTTTATGTAAAATTCTAAAACACACTACAAAGATCATAGCTGCGTTAATATTGTGTATCGATGAAGACGGTAAAAAAATATTTAAACAAAAAAATCGAGTGAGCTTAACGCAGGTTCTCACCTTGTGGCAAAAAAAAAATTGATTTTTTTTTTTTGGCTTATCGTATAGATATTGGGTTGGCAAGAAAGTCATGTCGTTTTTTTCAATACTTTCAAAGATGATATGATAAAGATTATATCAGGACTTATAATTAATCAATTATGTATTGGCCGTTTTGTTCGACCACTAATGACCATCTTTCGGGCAGCTGCATAATTCCGCGCTCGAAGAACTTTTGGTCTTTTCCAGCAAAGAATCGAGACAAGTGGTTTTCGACAGCCTCATCTGAATCAAAGTTTTTACCATTCAAAGAGATTTGAAGAGAGCGAAACAAATGGTAATCTAAAGGTGCTAAGTCCGGACTATAAGGTGGATGTGGTAGCATTTCCCAATTCAGCTCCGTTAATTTTTGCCGAGTGACCAAAGATGTGTGGGGCCTAGCGTTGTCATGGTGAAAGACTATACCCTTGCGATTAGCTAGTGCCGGCTCCTTTTCTTTAATTTTTTCCGCCAAATTGAATAGCTGGCGACAGTACACATCTGAATTGATGGTTTCATTCCGTCCCAGCAGCTCAAAGTGCACTACACCCTTCCAATTCCACCAAACAGACAGCATAATTTTCCTCTGATGGATATCGGCCTTTGATGTGGCTTGGGCTGGCTCATCTTTCTTGCTTCTTGATCTTTTTCGTTGGACATTATTATAAACAACCCACTTTTCGTCGCCAGTAATGATCCGCTTCAAAAAAGGATCGTTTTTAATCCGTTGCAGCAGAGAATAGCAGATGTTGATACGCTTAGTTAGGTGAATTTTTTTAAGTTATGCGGAACCCAAACATCGAGCTTACTAACGTAGCCAAGTTTCTTCAAATGGTTTTCAACCGTTGTATGCGACACTTTGAGCTTCTCTGACATCTACCGCGTTGAATAACGCCGGTTTTCATCCAGCAAAGCCTGAATTTGTTCGTCAAAAACGGCCGGTGGTCGACCAGAACGTGGGGCGTCTTCAACTCCAAAATCTCCAAGCCTGAATTTGGCAAACCAGCGCTGACATTGGCGATCACTCATGGCATCTTTACCATACACTTCGCACAATTTTTCGCGAGCAAACTATGCCGAAAATGCTAACTTTGGTCCTCCATGTTTAATTTGCTATAGCTTCCACAAATGTTATCGAATAATTACCAAATTTTCGTCGATAGTACCTAAGACAATAAGCTTTAAAACGATACTAAAAAGTGTGACCCTGGTGCTCGATTAGTCGTAAATAAATTAGATTAAAAACGATTACTAAAAAAAACGACATTACTTTCTTGCCAACCCAATATATGTTCCGAAAATGTTCCCAAACGATTTCAGATCCAAATTTGAAATATTACAAAGTTACAGGCCCTTACATGGGCCTGTATTAATTTTAGAAAATAATTAGTGAGAAAAAAAGCGCGAAAATCGAAATTTTTTTTCAAAAACTAATAACTTTTGCAATTTTCATTTTTTCTTTCTGATCCTGGTTCATTTTATGCACAGTACTGTACACTTTAAGAATCTTTTTGGTTTTTGTGTTTCCGATTACCCGTTTTGGCTGAAACACTTCCGTAAGCGGGACACCTTTTTGCGGAAATGTTGCAACTGAGGAACGCCCCCTCCCGCCGCTTTTTTGATTTTGAAATTTTTTTTCGCAAAATAAATATGTTTTCAAATAAAGTTACAAACTTCAGATTTTTATCTTAAACCGTTTTCTCAAAACAATTCTTTAAAAAATGTCCATTTTTCGGCCCTACAAGGTGAGAACCTGCCTTAAACAATTGAAAATAATGCCTGCTGTTATACGATTAAGGGTTGGACGGCGTTCGCGCAATGTAATAAATAGTCAGAACTTCCGTAAAAGTCGGACGCAAGAGGAACGTGCAGAAATAAATGCATCGATACGTGCCCGAATAGCACAGCTTCGCGCTGCACAAACCCCACCTCAAGCCCGACAAAATAATAGAGGAAGACGAACCGCAAATGAAACTTGAATCGCGCTGCATTCCCATACAATTCTGAAATACCCTACAAAGATCATAGCTGCGTTGTTATTGGTTCATTGTCTGTCGTATGTCAGCATTGCAATGCACTGAAGTTTCGATTGGAAGCCCCCGGCTAATGCAGTGCAGGTGGCAAAATTAAATTGCACGTTTTGGCTCATCCACCAGAGCCATTGTATTCGCTACTTGAGCCTTTGATCGACTATGTTAATCACCGATTGGTTATCATTGGGAGAATGGATAAAAAATGCAGATATTGTGAAGCACTAAAATGGAAAGAAGAAACTCCAGGTATGTGTTCTTCTGGTGGAAAGGTTAAAAAAAACCCGGGCGAAGCTGGGACGGGCAGCTGGTATAATATATTTTTGTAACCAAACTCCGAAGCTAAAATTGTCTTATTTCTTATTTCACACAACTTATGAGAACAGGCGAAATGTGTCAATGAACTACAAAAGTTGTTAATGCCATTATCAAGGAGTTTAACTACCCTATCATTTAAATTTACTAAATTCAGCATTATATATTTAAGCGATGTTGATATTTATTCTATTGTAGGTTTACTAGAGTTGGCTCATAGAGAATATCAAGCAGTTGACTATGAAAGTGCAGAAAAGCATTGCATGCAATTATGGCGCCAGGACAGTACAAACACTGGTGTCTTGTTATTGCTGTCATCTATTCATTTTCAGTGCAGAAGACTTGATAAGTCAGCACAATTTTCTACCTTGGCAATTAAGCAAAATCCAGTACTGGCCGAAGCTTACAGGTAAGTTTTTAAACTAATAAGTACTCTTTTATATTCCTTTGCAGAGCAAAGGGTATTATAAATTAGGCCAGAAGTTTGCAACGCAGTGAAGGAGACCCCATAAAGTACATATATTCTTGATCAGCATCACGATCTGAATCGAAATACGTCTGTACGTCTGTCCATCTGTTCTCCTGTCCGTTTCTACGCAAACCAGGCTCCCAGTTTTGAAGCTATCTTGCTGAAACTTTCCCAAAATTTGTGTAGTTATTTCACGCAGTATATAAGTCGGAATGGGCCGGATCCGGCGACTATATCGGATAGCTCCAATACGAGAGATTGAAAAAACAAAAATTATAATATTTTATCATATCGACTTGATTTCTTCCAGATGGTGATTTTTAACTACTGTCGAATTTCGAATTAAATTTTATCAAAATTGGATAACTCTATCATATAGCTCCCATAGGAAGGATCGAAAAATTTATATATAAATATTGGGTTGGTAAGAAAGTCGTCGTTTTTTTTGCAATATTTTCAAAGATGATTTATTTATATCAGGGGATCAGCTTTGAAACCATTAAATTGTTTATAATTTTTTTTCTGAACAAATAAAAAAATTGCAAGTAAAAAACTTGAAAGGCAACATTAATACCTATTGAAAAAAATTATTTTTATTATGTGACTACTGGAAGCGGAGATAATATATTTCATATATAGAAAAAATAAATTTAGAGTAAAATCCTTTTACACGTGTCTAATAAAATCTTCCATAAAAGCTGAAAAAAAATTTTCATTCAATTCTGAGATATGAAAAAAAAAATTCTCGAGTCCGTACGATTTGTAAAAGAATGTCCCCTATATAGGATAACTAGGAGACTTGTTTGCATAGAAACAGATAGGAAGATTAAGTTCGTGATCACTGCTTTGCCAACTTCTTATGCCAACTTTATCATACGAACTTAACTTTAAGAATATCTTTAAGTCAAGAATAAAAATCATAAAAACCGGAAAACTATAATATACCAAAAAAGCTGCCATAGAAAAGATCGAAAAATTTTTATAGCTTTAAGAGAATAAAAATAATAACATCGTGGTTTTTCATCAGACGAGCACGATTTTTAGAATAAAGTGTTTTTTAACGACATTTGAATTTCGATTTCAATTTCATAAAAATCGAACAACTATATCATATAGCTGTCATACTAGTATGAACAATCGTTGAAAATAAAGAAAATTAATAGAAAAATCGTCGTTGCTTCAATGTTGTTTAGCTTTTATGTATTTTGTTCGACATATTTGATGACTGCAAGGGTATACATCGTCCTTTCTTATTTTTCTTCTTGGAGAGCCCTGTACTCAGCTATTGTGAAGGGGCGGGCTTCATCTTCACACTTTGCTTTACACACATAAGGGATTCCAAGTAAGACCTGTGACGACGAATACCGAATAAATCATGGAATACATCGATTTGGACCTTTATGTGGCATCCCGTGACAACGCCCAGGAGATGGGAGTTAGTCAACAAACCGTTTAAACCATCTGCAGAAGGCCACGTGAAACTCGACACATTTTTGAAGCGGTTAAAATTTTTTGATTTGTATTTTTTTTTTTTTTTTTTAAAGACCAATATATCAAGAATATTGTTTAAAAATGTTAAGTCAATCAGAGTCAAACTAACAAAGTTACAGCGTTTTAAGGGGGGGATAAGGTTTTAAAGGCCAAAAAAAGGGCCATGTTTGATTTTTTTTTTTGCGGCAAAATGAGTAAGTTTATTTTATTGAGCTTAACTTTTGAAGAGTATTAGAAAAAAAAATTATTAAAAAATATTAAGAAATAAGCCTGTGGCGGTTAATCTTCCGAAGCGCCTAAAGAAAAAGTTGTTTTGCGGTGAACATCATAGGGCCTTAACGGATCATCTTAAAAATAAAATGTGATATGCGTTGTAAAGATAATAAATTTCCCGAGGTAATCAGGAAGAGATTTTTTTTAATTTATTTTTTGTCTATTTTTGGGAGCACTTGAAAGTAAAAAGTGCGATTTTAGCTTAAAAATCGGTGTTAATTTATTTTTTAAAAATAGAAAAAAATTAAAAATTAAAAAAAGCTCTTCCTGATTACCTGCGTATTTATGTTGAGAATTCGTGTTAAAAATTTGAAAAGGATCGGTTCAGTAGATTTTGAGTTCTGATGTTCACCGACTTTCAAAATAACGTCTTCAAAAAAACAAAGATTTGAAGTTTATTTATACGTCAAAACAGTCCAAATTCGGTCGTTTAAGGGGGGGTAATTAATTTTTTTTCAAAAACTAATAATAACTTTTGCAGTTTTCAATTTTTTTCTACTGCACACCTTAAGAATCTTTTTGGTTTTTGTGTTTCACATAAACCGTTTTGTCTGAATCATTTCCGTAAGCGGGACATCTTTCCGACGACATGCCGCCACTGAAGAACGCCCCATTCCGCCCCTTTTTTGATTTTTTCAATTTCGAAATTTTTTTTTCGACCCCACAAGGTGAGAATCTGCCCATTTTGAAAGGGAAAAAATAAGATAATAAAAAAAAAAATCATAAAAAAATGCAAATGATGCCTATTCGCACAGAAAAAAAGGAAGTAATTATTTTTTAATGTGTGGTTTTTACATTGGTTTACATTGAAATACCAATAATATGTTTTAGTAAAAGGTTAACCGTGGTAAATTATTTTCAAACAGTGCTTTCGCGCATCGGCTTGTGGCAGAGGATTATATTGGGTTTAAACATAAAGATTCTATAAGTAAATATACAGTATTACAGTATATTACAAACCCCGAAAATTTGTGTTGATCGTATAGCATTTTTGTTCAATGATTTGGGTTCTCGAAGTATTTTCGCCACGAATGCAGTTTACAATTTTCCACACCCCATTTTACGCTTACCAGAGCGTCCGCTTTTTAGTTTAAACGTCGATATCTTGTTAACTATTTAAACTAGAATGTTGAAATATACCTGCAGATTGAAGATTAAAATAAAAGTGACACTTTTACGCCCAAAAAAAACTCGACACTTTTGTGTTACAACATTAAAATGGTATATGTCGGATCGAATGAAACGGGGCCTACTTTGTTCTCTTGGTCAGGACAGGTGAAGCGGGGCCTTCTTTAATGTGAAGCAGGGACAATTAAAAAGGAAGTTAGAAATTGAGTGAAAGCATGGCAGAGCAGGACAGATTTAGACTGCTGCCAAGTGAGGTCTGTTCGTTAAGCGCTGACATACATGTTAGAAAGAGATGGCTAACAATGTATAAGAATGTAGTAGAAAGTATACATTTGGAAAGTAGACTCTTCAGAAAGCGCCTGTCCATCGAACGGAACTTGCTGCTGAGAATTTTAGTTAAAGTGATGGATAATACAAACGACCCTCCGACATCAGAAGTGGGATTCGCCTTGCCTACAGACAATACTCCTGGACAATATATGGCAGCGTTGGAAGCCCAGAACCGAACCCTGATGGAGCTAATAAAATCTATGCAGACACCAAGGACTTCGGCAGCGGACGATAAGGCTACGCATGTCACTTTACCCAAATTTAATCCCGATGGTGGCGGAGCAGACGCCTTAGCTTGGTGTACAACAGTCGACCTCATATATAGAAGAAGAAGAAGATGTACGAAAAGCGTGTGGACTTTTGCACTGTGGCCCCGTCAAAGGGAAAAATGAATGTATCCGGTGAGCTCATTCCATTTTGCTTTGATTCCGGAGTAGAGTGCTCATTAGTTAAGGAAAGTGTTGCAGAGAAATTTAAAGGAAAAAGACTTAATAATATTGTAAAACTTAATGGCATAGGTAACGACTTCATCTGTAGCACAATCCAAATTCTTTCCAATATAAATGTTGAACAGTATTGCTACACAGAATAGATAAAAAGCCCCATGTTGTTGAATATTTTATATTTTATATAGAATAATAGTTAAGCTTAAAAATAACTAATTCCCGGAAAACTTAGATAAAACCTATGAACTGCGAAAGGGAGTTTTATATAGGAAAATACAAAGAAACAGCAAAACTAAATGTTTGCCTGTAATCCCTAGGGCATTTAGATGGGCAGTGATTAATCACGTCCACGAATCTATTATGCATCTAGGTTGGGAGAAAACGTTGGATAAAGTTTATGGTTTTTACTGGTTCGAAAACATGTCGAAGTACGTTCGTAGGTTTGTCGAAAATTGCATCACCTGTAAATTAGCTAAGCCACCAGTTGGAAAAATGCAGACTGAATTACATTCGATTCCTAAAATAGAAATTCCGTGGCACACCCTACATATTGACATAACAGGAAAGATGAGTCGGAAAAAATGACTTAAAGGAGTACGTTATTGTTTTGGTAGATGTGTTTACGAAATTTGTTTATTTTTATCACACCTTAAAAATTGACACTGAAAATACTATCAAGGCTGTTAGAGCCGTCGTGTGTTTGTTTGGAGTACCAAAGTTTAAAGGTCTTTTTGAAATAATTGAACTATTAGATGGAGATCGGTACACTTTAAAATCTTTAATTAGCAAAAGAACTTATAAATATGCGCATGAGTTTTTGAGGGCATTGCCAAATAGACAAATAAATAATGAAGTTGATAAAGATTTAGACGACTTTAGTGCAGATGGTTCTGATTCCCATGTGGGGAATGATGATATGAAAGGCATGGTGGATGCCTTGGAATCCCAAGAGGGGATAGAATAACCGCACCATAACAGAAGGAATTGTTATGGCGGGGGTTAGTGATAACCGCACCATAACAGAAGGAATTGTTATGGCGGGGGTTAGTGATGACCGCACCATAACAGAAGGACTTGTTATGGCGGGGGGTCAGTATGTGGGTGTTAAAGGAAATACACCAGTTGATAAAGCTATGCAATTAGTCAAGTCTGAATTGTAAATTATGATTAAAATGAAAATGTAACTTGTGAAATGTAATTAAGAAATCAATTGGTTTATTTTGTCTAAATGCCTCAAAACTTATGTAAAGAAAATGTAATGAAATGTTTGTT